ATATATGTCACAAAGCTGACTGTGTGGTGTCCTTTATGTTCAGATTCTAGGGTCTTCGTAACACTGATGACTCTAGAGCAAAGGCTGCTCTAGGAGAAACAAAACAGAGGCAGAGGCAGGGGCGGGGGTGGGAGTGGCAGTTCCCTGGAATAAGTTGGTAGCCTGTTTTTTAAATTATATGAAACAATTGGGGACCCCATGGAAGAGTTAGGGGGAGGATTAAAAGAATGGAAGAGGATAGCAACCCCTTCCATTCCAAAGAAACAAAGGAAGACCAACAGTGTCAACTAACCTGGAACCCTGGGAAGTCCCATAGACTGACCAACCAATCAAAGAGCAAACACAGCCGGGTCTGAGGCCCTAGGCACATATGTAGCAGAGGACTGCCTTGTTTGGCCTCAGTGGGAGAGGGTGTGTCTAATCTTGTGGAGACTTGATGCTCCAAGGGGGAATATTCGGGACTCACTTTCTCAGGGACAAAGGAGAAAAAGAATCAGGGAAGAACTCTGCAAGGGGGAACTGGGAGGGAGGAACATTTGGCTTGTAAATAAAATAATTATTAATAAAAAAATTAAAAATAAAAATAGTTAAGCTATCTTTCAAAAATAAGCAGAAATTAGGCTTTAGTTCTTTGAAAAGGAGTCGTGTAGTCAGATCCCAGCATTGGGAAGGTGAATGCAGGAAGACTGGAAGCTCAAGGTTTTCAGCTGTGTAGCTCAGTTCAAGGCTAGCTGAGCTTCATAAGACTGGCACAAAACAAAATAAAATACACACACACACACACACACACACACATACACACACACACACACACACAGGTCCTTCACTCCCTCTGCCTCCCAGGATCTATTTTGTGGAATAATTTGAGCATTATTGGTATTAGTTCTTCTTTTCAGGTCTGATAGAATTCTGCAGTGAAACCGTCTGGCCCTGAACTTTTTTCCTTTTTTTTGGTTGGGAGTTTTATATAATGGTCTCTATTCCCTTGGGTGTTTGGGGATTATTTAGAAGGTTTACCTGCTCTTGGTTTAATTTTGGTATATAGTATCTGTCTAGAAAATCATCCATTTCATTTAGATCTTCCAGTTTGTCACATGCAGGGTTTTGTACTAAGACCTGATGTTTTTTTTTCTTTTTTTAGTTCTTCAGTTTCTGTTATGTCTCCCTTCATTTCTGATTTTGTCAATTTGGATACTGTCTCTGTGCCTTTAGTCAGTTTAGCTAACAGTTTGTCTA